AAATTTTTCCGATAAAGGATTTGATATATGAAATGATTGAATTGCGAGTATTCGAAACCTGAGAATTCTCGGTGCATGTTTCCGGGTGCAGAAGTCCAAGGGTCACAAAGGATTCTTTGGTCAGATAGGACAATTCACAGCGTACGACACCAACTACAGCGGCCTTGAGACAGCGTACAGAGAACAATCATAATTGAAATACATACATATGTTTTTTGGAAAGTACTTATAAAAAAGGCAATATAATCTTAAGGTTTTTAAAAACTAATGCCGAATTTCCACTTGGCATTGAAATGGCAAAAACTGTATGCCATTTAGAAAAAATGCCATGCGCAAATGAACTTAATTTAACGACTATTTTTTACCGTAATGGCATTTTTGACATTTAAAGCCTAGTAGAAATCCAGCATAAATTTTTTTTTCTTATTTTTTTGTTCTAATGTTTATTATACACTGTTACATATTAATCCAAATTGCCTTGGATTTAATCCATTCATTTGCCTTTTAAATAAATTTTTAATAGTCTTATTCCATTTTTACTTTCATTTTTAACTTACTGTAAGTGTTACCCAAGCAAGAAAAATCAAGAAAAAAAGAAAAAGAAAAAAAAAATAGTCGATCTATCCGGTTCTTACCTGAATTTAAAAATTTGATATCTTTTTTTTTAAATTGCCTTTATTCGATTCGATTGAAAACTGGCTTGAAAATAAAATATCAAATATATATAGCCAATACTCGCAGTCAGTGGATACTCGTATTCCTAGAGGGGTAGATATTATAGTAGCGCATATAGAATGCGTGCATACGCCAATAAGCACGCACGCATGGATAAGAATTCATTTAAGTGTCCATATGTACATAAATAAAATATATATATGTACATACATACATACGTGCCAAATGAGTAGAAATAAACTTCCACGTTTTTGGAATATTTAAGTAAGCACATAACCAATTTATCTGCATTTCGCAACAGTCGATGGTACATAAGCACATGTGTACAGCATGTGCATGCGTACGCCATAAGTAGATATATATTTAATAAAGCGTATACATTATATGTACATATGTTTATAGCAATTGCATATCGTTACTTTAATATAGAAAGGCCCTATCTCACGTCGTCGCTGAAATGCAAAATAGCCTACCTACATACCTATTCCAGTTCCCAATGTTGATTTCCAAGTGTACCTCAATTGGAGAACCAACCACCAACCCATTCTCAAACAAAAAGGTACATTTTTCCTCTGAGTTCTCTACTTGAAAAGGCTTTTATATCAATTTGAGCTCAAACTTTATGCAATTTTTTATCAAGGCTTGGAAAAAATGTTGTACATCCACTTGAGAATCAAGAATTTCTCAAAAATTAAAAAATAAATAGAAAAAAATTTGCGTTGCGAAAATTGGGTGGTGTGACATCGCACGTGACATTGGCGTAGGAAAAAGCATACACATACAGTCAGCGTCAAAAATATGAATACCCACACGTTTTTTTATTTATATTTTCCATGCCAAATTTTTCTTATTTTTTTATAAAAATATAGTTAGTTCAAAAGCAAAAACCAGCAGAATCAATTTTTTCGATTTTATATATAACGCGGGAAAATTGAAGAACTACCAAAAAACTGTCATCAAAAATTTCAAATTTTCAATTCGATTTCTTAGAAAAATTCTCGGTATGCAGTTTTGTAGCCCATTAAATAAGGTGCAGTTGTTAACAAATGAAAAAGTGGAAAAAAGGAACAAGAATTAAGGCGAGGGTCGTTGGATCTAATCCTACTGAAAGAAGTCTGATGAGGAAATGTGGTGATTTAAGGCCATAAATAATAAAAACAAATTTTTATAACAAATCAAAAAAAAAATTGGTATGAAAAATATAAAAGAAGAAAATCGTCAAATCGTCAGGGTATTCATATTTTTGATGCTGACTGTATACTATGTACAACAAAATAACGAACAAAAAAGAACTAAAGTCGGCGAGAATGACATATTGACCTTGGTTGCGCTTTTAGCGACGTATGTATGTATGTATTTCTTGTTTGGGCTTGCACTTATGCTAATTGTAAATGTAGTTAAAAATTTGACAAATCAAAAAAGCGTACGAATAAATGTGATTAACTGCATACTGAATAAATTTCAGCACAGATAGTAGAAATTAGTCACTTTTAGTTATTAAAATTTATGTAAAGATATTTATTCCTGACTCGAGTTTGGAGAAAAGTGCATCAGAATACATACATAACTCTTGTCTGCGATTTTACAAAGTTAATATTCAGCTTTTTATTTGGTGTTTTGTTTTAACACATATGTACATACATACATATGTATATTTAAACGAATCAGGGAATCCCCACTTTTTTGCACACTTCAAATAAACGAAACTGACATGAAAGTTACTACAAACATGTTTAATGGTTGCTAGGTGAATCCCCCTAATCGCACTGAATTCGAAATTACATATTTATGTATATGGAAAATATTTTCTGCGACTGCGCTGAATGTCTTTAGGTGTGTTAGCGTAATATTACACCGACTGTAAATTTATACCACGTACAGCTGTATGCAAAATAACAGCAACATACATACTTACTTAAATGGTTTTAGAGGGTCTTAAAGAGTAACATCCCAGTGGGAAAATGAGAATGCATTACCTTTTTCTACCAAGAAAAGAATAACAACTACGGTTGAACGAAAAAACCTGTGGCACGAACATACTTTTTTATTTTCATTTTTAATTATATTTATAGATTCTGTTTATAGTTTCGTAAAAAGACATGCGACACATTACTTTCCTATGAGGTTATAGGGGCTATCCATTACTTTTGCATTCCCAGACATTACCTTTTCCCACTGGGATAATATGTATTTCACTTAAACTTACGCCAAAAATTAAATTTTCGCATTTTGGGATATAAAACAAATCAAGTGCTAGAAAATGAATGAGCACACTTACATACATGCATACATATGTAGGTATGTATTAGATTTAGCTTTTCTAAATAAGAATTTTTTTTTTTTGTCGTTGGCCTTTTAATTGGCTGTTCGGCATGACGACATAATAACCGCCTTGTGCCACTTTAATGCGTATATCAGCCGGCTGTTCTACGCCGACTGCCTTAGCACTTATTTCGCAGAAAACAAAAATCAAGTGCAACGAAAAGAAAATAAAACTTTTTAATTAAACAAAACCCAAAAAAGAAAATTGCAATTGAAATACATGCATACACATGTACATATCGAGCCGTAACCGCGAAAATAACGTAAGCGACATTTTTTTTTTTTTTCAAAAGTTCCTTTTTGATGCAGAAGCATTTAATTCTGTACCAAGCACGGGTAAGTCTATACATACACTGCCGGAACAAAGTATTGGCACAGCAAAATTTTCTCAATATATGCAACAATTTTTATTCAAATATTTTTCCCCCAATTTTGTAAAAAATATGAATCATTCAACAACAAAAAACATAAAAATGTAATTCCTAAACTTTGTGCGACACTCGCGAAAATTTAGCAAATTTTCATCAAAATTTTCAACTTTTAATCAGATTTTTTAGAATTTAGAACTTGAGTATGCAGTTTTGCTGCCCATTAAAATCTTGTAAAAAAATGCTAGTTCGGAGTTACTCAAAAATTGCGTTGATTTTTGAGATTTTTTTTTGTTGAAAGTGTTTTGCATTTTTTCCATGTGAAGTATTTTCGAAAAACAATTTTGCATGGAAGAGACTGCGTAAAAAAAACTGCCAAAAATCAACGGTAATTCCTAGCTACTTAAAACTTGCACTTGCAATTTGCTGAATTTGCGCGAGTTTTGCACAAAGTTTAGGAATTATATTTTTATGTTTTTTGTTGTAGAATGAACCATATTTTTATAAGAAACTAGCGGAAAAATATTAGAATGAAAATTATTGCATATATTGTGAAAAATTTGCTGTGCCAATACTTTGTTCCGGCAGTGTATTTTAAATAATTAAATAGAAAATCCGGCAAGGAAGCATTACCCCTTGAACTTTGATGGACTTGGGCGAGCCTAGGATATTGACCAAAAAATTCCAAATTTCACACAGATTTTTTTTTAAAGCATAATTAATCATATTTTTGCTATTACCAATCAAAATTCTAAAAAACCAGATTTTCGGCCCACGCTAATGAGCAGCTTAATAGACGCCGCATGGAGTGTCTTGGAATCTTACGTAAAACAACTACGGATATAAGGCCTCGAAGAAGTTTTGGCATAGATGAGTTATTGAACTCTGTGTGGAATAACTTTACTAAGCTTCCATTTACCGTTCGCTGCAGCACTAAATTATATGTACATATATTTTTACTGCAATTTATTTTGCCCCTCTTTTTTAAGAAAATTAAATGAAAATCCCATCGTCAAAAGGAATTATACAAATTCAAAAATGCTTTAGAGCAACCGGTTGTTCGCGGTCGCCTGGTAGCACACAACCTATATTTACTTTAGGCGCCCATAAACGAAAAGATGGACACAAAAATTGTTTGTATCAAAAAAGATGGAAATAAATGACGATGACGACGAAAATATGGCTTTCCAACCTGGCATTTTGATATGATTGCAAAACTAAATGATCTAAATACTAAATTCAAGCAAGGGATGCAAAAATACTAAATACATTGATTTACTTTATAAAAAACAAGTATGTAGTTGGGTTTATAGGTGAAAAAAGTAGAAAACACAGTTTAAAAAGCTAGAAATACTTTAGAAAAATACCTTATTGCTAAGGCATACCGAATTACTTGATATCTTCGAAAACTTATAACAAATGGACTTAATATAACATAACAGCGAAAAAACCGGCTGAGATGGATATTTTATATTGTAAAAAAAAAAAAAATCAAAATGTCAAAGTTTATTTTAAAAACTTCACTGAACTGTTATAGGTTACCGAAAGTGTTCAAAATCAGATCATTTTCCCTTTGAAGGAATATTTCATTGGGTTCCCAAAAAATATTTTAACGATAAAGTCCGAAAAAATTACCAAAGTAATGACACCATATTTGGCTCGTATAAGCAAGAGTTTTATGATGCCTTTTAATAGAAGCTTTAAAATATAAATGTTTAAGGGTAACTTCAAGAACAAGATAAAATTAAGATGCCTGTACTTACATTTCGTGTGGACGAGGGTTACTTCTTCGATTTCCCGTTGTATACGCTCCAATTCGGCATTGTTGCTGTTATTGGGAGCGTCAGCCTTGCGGTTGCTCTCCCTGTTTTTGTTTGCTGTCTGGCCACTGCTACTTGCACCGTTTGCGCTCTGTTGCTGCTGCTGCTGCTCATACTTGAATTTGTTTTGAAGCTGTTGCTGAGTGGCACTCAAGTGACTGTTACTATTACTACTGCTACTGCCGCTAATAATAAGCGTTGGTATTCCGGTAGATGCGCCACCGCCGTTCGCCAAGCGTTCTTTATTACCTCCACTAGCTACCTCTCGTCTATTAGATTTAACATTATCATCATCACTGTCGCTACTGTCAGGCACTTCGATAGTCTCCGCCACGGGTAACGTGTTCATTTTTGCACTTAGTTGTATATAGTAATTGTTTTTATTGTTATTTATGTTATTATTATTATTGTTATTGTTGTTGTTAGCTGTGGTCTTTTTATACACCGAAGTGCTGGTAACTTGTTGGTGTTGCGATTGTTGTTGTGGAGGCATTTGAGATGGTAAATAGCGTTTACTATTGTTATTGTTATTGGCATAGTATTGATTACGCTGCTCTTGTTTGCTATTAGTTGTAACTGTGAGTGGTGCAGCCTGTCTGTGTGATTTGCTTTGACCCTGCGCAACAATATGAGCGGCACTTGGCATTCCCATATTCACTTTTTGCCGCTTACTGCGACCACCATTCATGTATTGTTCGGCAGAGGGTTGGCGTGTGCGTTTCCCACTGCCGCCGGTGCTGGTAGAGGTGTGACAGCCGGCAAAATGCGTCTCATCGGTACCTTGCTCATAGAAACCACTCTCGTGATCAGCCTGCCGTCTCGTGGCCATCTTCTTCGAAGTGGCACTGGCGGTCAAATTCAGCGCTTTGGTACTACTACCGCCGCTATTGGTGTAGTAGCGACTCATTGTGGCAAGGTGTTTGTGATGGTAAACGCTGCTGTAGATTTCGTTTTATTTACTTTTTCAGTAGAAACGATTTGTATTTTAAGATTTGTAAAATTATTTTGAATTTTTGGTTTATGAAATAGTTTTTATGGATTTTAAAACTATCAATTGTGACATTTCCGTGTGCTAATTATTATTTTTTTTTTGTTTTTTCAACCGACAATTCTTATAAAATCGGTATATTTGACGCTGCAAAGGAACTTAGAGGAGTTCTTTTATTGGTAAGTATGGAAAAGGCGAATAATTCACGCATACATTAAAAAATGGCATGAAATACGGTGGGAGGGGGTTGATACGCTAACGCGCGAAAATCCTGTTCATAAAAGTCGCGGTCAACTTGTTGCGTACTTTTGGCTGGCGACTGCTGCTGCAGCCTTATATGGTATAATAGATGTAATTATGAAAATACTGGATATTGTTCCCATTTTTTTTCAAGACTCCGAAAGATCTGCAAAGATAAATAAATATATGTTAGTTATAAGAATATAAAATAATAAAATATGTTTTTTTTCGCATGGCGGTCAATTCTTGCCGAATATGGTTAATGTGCGCTTAAATGTAGCAATGCAACCCCTGTTTCTACGCATTTGTCTATCAAAATCCGAAATCGAAAGTCTACTTTCCCGTGCAAACAGCCAAAAAATCCTTTTTGCAGATTTGCAGAAATCATTTTCGGAAACAAAAATTGCAAGGTGTAAAGTGGATGTTCAAGTCGTTTTCAAAAGTTTGTCAAACTCACGATTTTCTCAAAGAGATTGCAGGAGCAGTTACACCTTGCATGTAAAATGGCTTTCGAAAGCAGTTTATATTTGTGAAAATCGAACTTTCCGATACTACTTTTTGTCTGTTTACACGAATGCTCAAATGTGCACAAAACAACCACAAAGTGTCTAATGCTTTAATATTTATGTATATTGTTCATATCAGGAGAATACAATAATTACAGGTATTTTTTTAAATGCGATGCAACATTTTTATCTCATAGAAATTCGGCAAAAATCGCGTCACACGATAACACTCGATTGGAAATGAAAGTTGCTAGCACGATCAAGTTGAAATTATTTCTCGAAACAATTTGCGTAATTTCAGTTGCAGTTACACCTGGCAATTTTTATTTACAAATCTGCACAAAGGACTTTAGGACTTTCTGGCTGTTTACACGGGAAAGTAGACTTTCGATTTCGCGTTTTGACAGCGAAAGGCGCTTGCATTGCCACGTTAAACCGCTCCTTTACACCTTGCAATTTTTATTTCCGAAAAATATTTTTGCATATCTGTAAAAAGGACTTTCTGGCTGTTTACACGGGAAAGTAGAATTTCGATTTCACATTTGACGTTTAACCGCACCTTAAAGAGGGTGTCAGACATGGCAATGCAATATATTTCAAAAAGGCTGTCAAATTGTAAAATTTCAGAATGCAAATGCATGAGCAGTCACACCTTCCATGTAAAGTGTTTTTTTAAAGGGGTTTATGTTTCCGAAAGGCGAAATTTCTGAAGACGCTTTTTGGATATTCATACAGCGAATTAATTTTTTGCAATCTTTTTCTATACTAAAATGCAACCTTTCTCTCGCTCTAATTACTTCACCTGGGGTCGAATCGGTAAAATTCCGCCACATGATTCAACTACACTCTAATTATAATTGGTTCATGATTCCGCCATGAACACGCTCTTAACTGCTTCTGTTATCACTTTTGGAAAGTCTTCAGTTTGACAGACATTTGGAGAGGACTTGCACTTGCCACGTCTAACTGCTACTTTACTTTAAAAAAGTATAGACACCTAAGAATCTTTCGGTGTTTTTATAATCTTCCGATTATTTATATTAGAGAATAGGCATTAACAAAAAATTTTTACACATTTGTGGACTGCTTAAAGTAAAAAACTAGTACATATGTGATATGTATATATGTAAGTATGTACATATGTAAATAAAGATGCATTCCAATTGGGGAATATATATAAATATGTATATCTTCATCTACTTGTCTCGCCGTACCTTCATTCAAAACCAAATTATACATATGCATATGTACATACGTATGCATATACAGACGTGCAATGATGTGCACAACTTCTTCAACTCCACCCACAAGTCCATACATATAGTACGCCAGCTGCTATAATTGAAACTCACCTTTTAATGTCATTAGCACTAGAGGACTTCCAATTTTATTAATTCAGGCACACGAGAAAAAAATAAATATAATAATTACTTTTCCAACCGATTTATTCGTGTATTTTATTAGTTATTTTTTTACAATTTTATCGGAAAGCCACAGGCGTTGCTCAACCACATTATCGCACGATTGCTTGTTATTCTATGAAGTGCTTTTTACACCCCCGGACTCGTTTTTTAGAAATATCGGTAGCACATTTTGTAAATTTGTGAATTACATCTCCATTGTACACTTATTCGATGATAATTTAATAAAAATTATATGTATATTTCAACAACTTTCTTTGCAAGCCACACGCGCCTATTTTTCGCTTCGTCGCTTTTTTGTCAGATGGCAGTCGTTTGTAAACGAACTCACCACGTTACCACACACGCACTATGAAACGAAATAAACACCACGCTATTCCAATTCCAACACATATATCGAGGAAGAATTGTCAAAATGGTGATGACAGCGCAAATGAGGAAGAAAATACCAAAGGATGGACAAAGAGTAATGAAAAAAAAACGAAAAATTTCACTTTATATTTTTTTATTTTATTTTTTCACTGCAGCAATGCACACGAATTCAGGCACTTATCAGTCGTGCACTTTTTCTTTTTCGAGTTTTAAGTATTTTTCTCCCTTTTTCCGTTATTCCGAAAGAAAATGTCCAATTTGATTTTTACCCAAGCCTCCTTGCTCTATGCATTCACTTGCATTATCTTCGCATCGAATACGATTTCACAGACCTCGCATTTCGACCTTTGCACAGCGAAAATTTCAACAAACGATAACGCCGACGTTTCTCGATTGAAAATGTTACGTTTAACGATTTTATATTAGTTTTATTAACCAATTCTCACGATTTTTCTTCAAATTTCACTCAACGGCGACGTATGTATGCGTAAATCGACGTGACATCCACTTCGATAGACTGCGTAGTTATTTTTAAAATGCCATTTTAACTTCACATATTTCTTCGCTGCGGTTCGTGTCAGCCGATGCAATGTCATTATACATTGCGCTTTGTGCATATTCGCTGTCAACTAACTCTATGCTTTACTTCCGGGCATCAGCTGATAATGACAGCAACACAACAATAAATAGCCCCGATCCCGTACTTTTCGCACT